GCCGACCAAGCAAGACTAACACGTTGAGTTTTGTCCGTATGGCGAAATGCTGGAAACCTACCACTTTCAAGAATACGTGTTGTGGCCTGGTTGTCCTCGCGAAAGATGCCCTCAAAAGAACCGTTGTTGATAAGACGTTTTCATTTCCAATCTGTTCGTTTCCAACATGATCAAAGTCTGTGAGGTGTTCCCTGATCTCTTTGGTCTCGATGTTCAGGTCGACCTCACAAGCCCCCCGCATGAAGAAGTACGCCTTGCCGATCCATGAGGAGCTGGTCTGCTGAATCTGAACCAATTTTGGAGACATTGAGATCGATGACGCCGTTCCCAAAGAGTTGAACCGTATACCTCATACTGGACAACAATCATCAGTCAATGGGACAAATAGTTGATATCTCTTCTTTTTGGACTTTGATTATATATCCCTTATTGGTGTCGCTTGTCCAATAGTCGGAAGTCTTGATGGGGTGCGGGTGCATGTTGGGTTGTCCTTACCACCCCCCGCCGACTGTATGACTTCCCAGAGGCAGGAAGACGGAAGCCAACAGCACGCAAAGCAACATTTGCGGCAATCACCTCAGCTTGCGTGGATGACATCGCTGTTGATGTCTGCTTCTTTGAGAAAGCAGTCAAGGGATAAAATGCATTTGGACCAATCAATGCAAGAAAACATCCGGACGTACCGCGTGAATCATGTTCGCCTGGGTCGCTCTCAGATCAAAGCGGGCCATTCGCGCAGCAAACAGCACATTCACAAGGATTTTGGATGCAGCGGGTTGAAGAACACCCTTTTTCTCTGTATCATCCTTAGTGGGTCTTGCAATGCGGTCGTCTTGAAATGGTGTGGATACCTTTTTGAACTTGATGTCGCCCCGCAAGCTCAACATACCTATCAAGGCATTGCTGGAGAAATCCGGTCATGTCATAGGTGACTAGCTTGACAGGTTTATCCATGCAAGGTTGGCGAGCACCGAATAGCTCATCAATACAAGAGAACAATTTTGCTCGATTGGCTTTCTTTGCTGACGTTTTGTCCCTCAACTTCTTCACGGCCGCTGCCGCTAGGCGGGCATTACCAACGCTCTCATGAAAGAAATACGTGGTCCCAACCCACAGAAAACAAACAGTTTGCAAATGTTCGTCGTCTTCATCGAAATGCCATTACTGTTGAGCAGCACCATCTTTGTCAAAACACGGATTGCATTCAGTGTACCGCACCCTGCCAAATCCAATTTCCTTGGCAGGCGTGCGGCGAAACTTGCGCCTTGGTTGTTCGTGTTGACAAACCACCACGCCATGTTCTGGATAGTGTTCCCAGAAATCCTGAGTGCGACGAGCTGCAGCAGCTGTTTTGTCGGAAGGATCCTCAATGTCATGATTGAAAACATGAGCAAAGATGGTTCTCCGGTGAAAGCCGAACCTTCTCCGTAGCAACATGTTCACATCCGAGATACCTGCCCACTGCTGTAGGTGGGTCTATGTCAATTTTGGACGAAATTAGTTCCCACCCTTTGGCCATGTTCTGAACCGGTCCTGACATCTTAAAATCATCGAAGCAGACTGCGAGCAGGAGCCGAAGTCTGGGATGCCAGAATACCGAAGGCCAGGCTCCAGGGAAAATGAGACGAAAATGCAAGGACAAAAGAATGTCTTCACAATGCTTTTCCCATAGACCCCCCGAATCCGGGTGACCATAGATCAAGAATAAGTTGCACCACCGGATCGCTGAACTTCGAGGCCCAACCTTTCGGCCAGCGATATTTGGGGAGGCGCACCCATGTCTTGATGCCCTTGTACAAAGCCTGAGTGTATGCCTGTCGTCCGTCAGACTGTTGGGTGCAATTCCCACATCGCTCCATAAGCATCAATGGCTTGGCTTCTTCCATAGTGGAAGGAGCCGATCCAAGTTCTGCAAATAGCGCTTGTTCAGCATTTTCGTCTGTCACGTTGTTTCCCTGAAACAGGGTCCCTCCTTTAAACTTGCGAAGAGGGTTTCCCTTTTGAAGCTCACTCCCCTTTCCGACACAAATTTCAAAGATTTGCAAACGTGGACCAAGCAAGAAGTCGTCATCTGCCAGTTCATCCCCATCATCCTCTTTTGTCACGAGTGTTTCCTCCAAGGTTTCGGGCTCCTCATCAATAACCAAAACCTCATCCTCAATCTCAATTGGAGTTGATGGCAAAGTCGCGACCTTTGGAAGAGCATTAATTCTTAGTCTCAGAAGGAATGAATGGTACATTGTCCTTAACCCCAAGCTTGATGCGCGTTCCATCCGGTAACCTGAAATAAGGTCTGCTGTGAGCTCTCCAAGCAAAATCATATCCATCTTTCAGGCATCTCATACCCACGGATAGCACAGTTGGAGTTTCATCAAGAATGTGTGGCCGAACAACACTCTCGGTCTGGTTGATCTTGACATCCGCTTGCTCGTGCCGAAAATGTTCCCGTTTGCAGTGGAGAACCTCAACGGCCATGGTGATTCGTAGACATCGCCATGTTGTGCATCAGCTCTCGAAAGCACATCTTGGGCAGCGCCGGTGTTCGCAATCCATGGAATGTGAGACGAATCCATTGGTAGTCGAGCAACAGCAGCCTTTCTTTTCGGAGGAATATCTTTGGGCTCTTCTGGCATGGCCGTTAGGCTTGCGAGAATGCAGGAGTGACAGCCGAAGTCAGAATCGCACTGATATTGACATGAAGTCTTTATACCCTTCAACATTCCTTGCACCGTAGCTTCATGGATGACACCGATGAGCACCATCCGTAATTGCTCTCTTGCTGAACTTTGGAACATAGTTCACCGGAAACTCTTGCGCAAACCTTCTCGACGAGGCAATGAAAGGCGAAAGCTCGCCGTCAGTCTCAGTCTGTAATGGATGGGTAATTCAAGAATTGCACGTTCTTCTTGATACATGGCATCCCCTAAAGAATGTTGTGACTCACACTATAGGCAAGCAAGGATACAGAGGCAACCGAATCCATGGTTGCCGCGCCATCGCTCGTAGGAAGCACACTGCTGCATTGCCGCCCTTAGATGGGCTTGGAGACTTTGGGGACTGAGAGCCCTTTGGATCTTCTGAATCACGAGAAGATTGCCTGCTGCTCTTCTTCTTGTCTTTTGGCGATGCTTTAGGTTGCCGATGGTCTTCTCATTCTGCTCGTTGTCCTGGCCAGCGATGACTGTATCCCATCTTGTTGAAATTCTTCAAGTCTTCGTTGATGAGCTGAAGAAAGCAAGTCCTCGAAATCGTACATAGCACCATGCTTTATTTCGTGCTGACATGTTTGTGAACCATCAGGAGAATCTGCCGGCCTCTCGCGTATCGTTTCTCCTTTGCCTCTTGTTCTTTGAAGATATCGACTTGCCCCTCCAAGATGTTCGTCAGCGCCGATGCCAATTTTGCATCAAGATGAACAAACATGCCTGAATCACTTCAACCGTCTGACCAGCATTCATCTGGATTTCCCGCCTCATGGCATCAGATTGGCTTTGAAGTCCAGCAATGATCTCGCTGTGTCGTGCTTCCGCAACCTAAGCTATCATGGGTCCAGTATCCTGATTTGCATTGAACGGCTGATAGTTCGTCACCTCTTGATTTACCGGTGAACATTCGCAACATGCTGATTGAAGTGGTTCATGGACTGTGGCACAGGGTTTCCCCTTGCGAGGTCGGACTGAGGGTCATACGTGACGACGTCACCATGCCGATGCCGATCGGATCCAACAGGTGAAGGAGATCGAGCACCAGACCACTCAGGTCTTCCTCAGTGCTCCTGGACCGAAGCGATTCGGGGCCTTGACTGCTCAAAGCTTGTCCCGCTTGTGAGTTCGCGCGACTTGTAGGCGCATAGTGCGCGGGGTCATCAATCGCATGCTCATCAGGAGTAGGGTTCACCTCAGTAGGGGAGATTCAACTCTGTACAGTGAGCCGCTTACAAAGGGTCAACATTCAACCCTGCGGTAAGCATGCTTTTCTTGAGCCACGCGTAGCGAGTATGACGAAGCCACGCCAGTGAGACACTCATGCAATTGGGGTTAATGAGGTTGATAAGTGCACCACATTGTAAAATACACAAACAACCCAATATGATTGTGCAAACAAGCTGTATTATATCATATCTTATATATATATATATTAAATCATGAATACATCATTATATGATAGATTGAACATGTCTATACTATTCCATCATTCGTACTTTACCAAAAATATCAAAAACACAACCTCCTAAACATACAACATACAATTACATTTAGATATTCATAATGATCAAGCATGTACATAACATGTTCGCTTTGTACAATGTACTCATTACACACAATGTCAATGCAATTCGGTGTCATCGAATTATGTCGGCTTACAAATCATTGTAACTTCCTGTCCACAAAGAAATTACATGAACATGAGCTGAACTCAAGTGGGTTTTGGTTAGTCTCTATGCAGGTGCTTAGCTTTTGGCTACAACATATGCTACAAAGGCAGTTCAGGGGTTGAGGATATATTTGCATATACCCATACATATAGGTACATGTATGTTGCCTCTGTATTCATTGATGTGTGTAGTTGTTTGGTCGTGGCTCTCTTGCCTTGGGATTGCTTTAGATGTGCTTCGTGGTCTCTAGAATTGGTTTACCGGTGTCATGCGTGTTTAAGGCCGGTTTGTCTGTCATGAGATATGGATGTGGACAAAGTTGCTTCCATTTACCAGGGTTCCATTTTGGGTACCAATTTTTGACCCACATCCATATGAACAGAAAAACACACGTATTCGGCATTCTCCATTTGTCGAGCCAGTGTCAATGAGATTCAGAGCCAGCTGACTCCAGTCTCGGGCGAGGTGAAACGCACTTCAATTCCTACAGCACGCCAGCACCACTCTGCACTTGTCATGGCTGCAATTGTTTAAAGCACACAAATATTCTGTTGGCTTGACTTTTGGTCACTGCCAGAAATTGCACATGTATCTTCACTGTACCCCAGATGTGTACATTGAGCATACCGACGGCCCGCGAGCTCACGCTAGCTGTGATGCTGCGCGCGCGTGACATGCCGTGTGCCTTTCAGCCAAGCGTCAAGCGCACGACGCGCCTGTGCCAAGCAAGGGTCAGCAAACATGGGCAGTGAGTACCATAAAGGGTCAAACATGGGGAGTGGGGTATAAGGGCACAAATTACCAGGGCATAGGCAGTTTGCCAGCCAGAGGGTGTTTTGGGCCTTATGGATTCGCGTGGGACAAACGTCCATTGTCCATCTTGAATGCCGGGCCGTGAGAACTCAAGGGGGAGGACGCCCCCCCAAAAAACGACACCCGCTTCAAGGATCTGGTGGTAGAGTGGGAAGAATCGTTTTCGCCTCGCGAAAGTTTTGCGAACGACCTTATTCTTTTCCGACAGGCCCTGGGTGAATTTGTACCAGGCGAGGCCGCTGTTTTGGGTCTGAATCAAAACACCGGGCATTGCGCGGACGATGCCCCTACTACATACCCATGCGCACGGCAGGATTGCTGGAAACCAATTTAACATGTAGCTTCCTTAGGCATGACCCAAGACCGAACATACGCTAACCTCCAATTACCCAGCGCCAAGGAACACCAGGCAAAATATCTTGTTTTGTGATATCCATCTCGTCTCCGCATCCACGAGCCCGCCATAGGCGCAACCCGCAACCCGCCTCCGGGCTAGCCCTTGACCGCCGCCGGCTCCTTCTGCCTATGATGCGACCAATTTGGCCCCGAGGGCGGCGAGGCTGTTTCTGCGCGCACCCTCGTTTGAAGTGCGAAAAAGGGTTAGGATAAGGGTGCCCTTTTTTTCTGTAGTCTGTTTTAGTAGGGGAACACTCCCCAAAAAAGGGTAAAATTGCACTACTGGGGGACCTAGACGCTGTTGGATGCCAAGCGATGGGCCAAGCAGCCGCAACATGCCACGTGAGTTTGTTGTACACTTGTAAAGGGCCTCAAGAAAAGCACATGATGCGACGCAACCACTTAGTCCAACTTTCAGCACGCCGCCTGGCAGCCAAACAGCCATTGACAGCCAGTTCAACAAACTCGCAAACGACACCCGACGATGACGACATCAACGGCGACACGCAACACAGACCACGGAACAACCAAACGTATTCTGTGTGTGTGGGTGCGAGAAAAACCAAAGACAAGGGAAGATCCCCAGTATTGCCGTCCATGTGTAATGGGATATGGCTCGAAAGGATAGATTTTCCATTGCATACTTTTGAGGAAAACCGCGGTTTGCGTTCCTCAAGGTATGGTTTCACAGGAAAGCCAAAAGAGCAAACACAAGCTTTTGGGACCCCCTAAGCAAAAAAACCCAAATGCTTTTTGTCCTGGCAGCACCTGGAAGTGGCCAGTGGGTTCCCTAGCCCGAAGGTAAAAACCATTGGCTTGTAGGGATTCGAGCTCTCGGGTTCCCAAACACCTGCCTCTTAGAATTCCACTAGGTCAAAAGGTCGGCTTTGGACCCGTACGGTGGATGCCAACTCAATCTTGCAAGTAGGGAGCACGTTGGAAACCCTGGAAGTCACTATGTGGTTGGTTTGCTTGCAATATTTTCACGGCACCCACCGTAGGTTTGAGGGACATTTTCACCCGATGTGTGGTCGGTTTGCTTGCAATATGGCAGGGGCATCCGCCGGTTTAAGGGACATGGCTTGACTTTAACGCCAAGATCTGGTCACCGCATCACACGCGCCAGCCATCTTGAACATGTAGCCCAGGACTTCCATAAGCTTGAATCGGATGCCCCATTTCAGAGGGGATCCAAATCACAACGGCACACTCGCCACCGCAGTGGCCAACAGGATCGGCAACACCACTACAAGGAACTGAGGAGCATACAGTTCACAATCACAAGGAGGAGTAGAGCGAGCACACAGAACACTTTTTGCACAAATCAGAACACTGAAGGCACAACTCAGGCAGAATTACAACAGACACATTTCAATGAAGCATCCACTCATGCCTTGGATAGTTCGACACAGCGCATACATCATGAACAGGTATGCAGGTCACAGCAATGGATGCGCAAGCTACTTCAACAGCTGGAACAGAGAGCAACACACACCACTTGAGTTTGGCAAGTCAGTGCAATACATGCTACCAACAGTGAAACACTTTCCAAAACCCGAACCAAGATTCTACAATGGAATCTGGCTTGGCAAGGATACAACCACAGGCGAATCCCTCCTTGGGATCGACAACAGGATTGCCAGAGCAAGGACAATCAGAAGGCAGATAATGCCTCACAAATACAACCAACAGCAACTGGACTGTGTGAACACAGGTCCCTGGAAAACACAGCAACACCAACTCTCCCAAAAAGTGACAATGCCAGCTGCAAGTAAAGCACCACCGTCACAGAAGGATGCAACAACAAGCACAGCAGCAGAAGGCAAGAGACAGAGCACATCACAAGCAAGTGATCAGCAGTCAGAACCTACATCACTAATGGCTACATTACCAACACATCAGAAGCGACCAGCATTGCCAGCACCACCGCCTACGTCGCTCACAAGAGAAAAAGATGACACAGTAGCAGAAGACAGCACAGGCAAGCAACAGCGAACCACAGCAGAGAGACAAGCACCCGAGCGGCCTACAACAGCCGAACCACCAAAAGGAAAGATGAGAATCAATGCCATTACAACAAAGGATGGTAAACAAACCGAGACCACATCAAATGAGGACATACAAGAAATCGAGAACGAGAGGATCCTGTTAGAGCCGATCATGCATGATACAGAAGGCTACAAATGAAAGACCAATCAGTCTTCACAGAGATTGATGGCAACACAATGACACCAGAACAACAAGCAAACATCATCGAATCAAGGTGGGCTCTCAAACAAAAACACAACGAAGTACGAGCACGCATAGTGGCAAAGGACTATACACAGACCCCGTTACAGACCACGACCTGCTCTTCGCAAGTACACCACTGTTCTGCATACTGAGAGTACATCTCACAATGGCACTGGTTTACAACTGGTCGGTCTGTACAGGAGGTGTGAGTGTTGCGTTTCTACATGCAGCAGCAATCTCATACAACTTGGTAATGCGACCGCCACACGAGTTCTATGGTGAAGAAAACAGACACATGATGTGGCGGCTAAACAAAGCCATTTATGGCTTGAGATCATCACCGACACAATGGCAAGACCACATTGCACACATTCTCACAGTTACACTTGAACTTGTGAGGTGCACAACAGAAAGCAATGTCTACAGGTCTAAGGATTGCCTAGTCTACATCATGATTTATGTAGACGATCTCCTATGCATAGGAGTACAAAGCATCATCGACACCTTGTTCAGCAACATGCAAAAGGAAGTCCTGCTGAGACACACAGGCGATCTAACTGTTGGATCAACAATACATTTCGTTGGCAGAAACATCTCACATAAAGGAAACTACAATGACATCAGCTTGAACGACAACTATGTGGACATCATCTTGGAAGAGTCAGGAATGACTACATGCAACCCAGCACCATGAGTGTCACACATGAAAGCTACAACAGAAGATGAAGCACCACTTGGTTGATCACGACCAACACAAGCAGTACAGGCGGCTTGTTGGCAAGATACAATGGCTACCATACACACGACCAGACATCAGAGCACAACAGGATTCGTGCTATACTTCTTTGGAGCAGCAGTACACTATGGCAGCAGAACACAAGCAACAATAGCACTTTCATCAGCAGAATCAGAATTGTACGCAATTGGTACAGCAGCACAAGAGAGCCTCTACATCAGCAACTTCATCAGGGAAGCATTTGAAGTACGCACCAACATCAGGATACACACCGGCAGCAGCGCAGCAAAGTCAATATCAATGCGAAAGGCATGTCAAAGAAAGCAAAGCACCTCGAGCTGCGACACCTCTTCATACAACAACCTGCAAAATCATCAGAATGCACGAAGTAAAGTCACACACTCAACAAACACACATATGCAGTTGGCCTTTGAGGCCATCACAACCAATTTCACACAGGTGTGCACAGCATGTTGAACAGCAGTTGCACAGTTCACACACGTGTTTGTTTCACTACATATCAGCCGGCATTTACAGTCTTTTAGGGTAGGTACATTGCTATGGATCGACCCTCGCTTTCGCAACTACGTCGACCCCTTTTACATCTTTTGGGAACAGCACTTGCATTACAGTCTGTACATGTCTCAAACAATGCTTTGATAAATTTCTGCAGCCATTTTGTTTACACCAGTTTGGTCTGGAGGTACATCGGCTTGTACACATCGCAATGGACATGCAGCCAATTACACCTTTGCCGATGCTCGCGCAGGATGACCACATCGGTGGCAGACATCGGCTTTAATCGGCTTTGTGAGAGCTGACAATTTCAAGGGCACAGATCAGGGCATCACAGCTTGGCACAACCTTACCTTGGCCAACTACAGTAATGCTCTTTACATCGCCCCTCACTACGGAGGAGTATGCATCTCGTTGTCGGAGATACAACAGCCTCGGCTTTGGAGAAGATCAGATACATCCGGGCAACCTTCGCTACCCGGCTTTTGACTTCACAGTGCTCACAACCAATCCGCATGATGCGGTCATGGCAACATTGTTCTTGATGAGCTCTGGGAATTTGGCCACAGCCAACACCTTGGACCTCTACATCCTCGCCTGGCGCTGTGACCTGACGAAGCTTCTCGACCTCACATCCAGGTCCAGGGCAAACACATTTAACAGAGGCTACATGCTGCAACAGGTGCAGCAATAGTACATGGCCTTTGAGTACAATGGAGAAGGAAAGACTGACAGCATGGCGTCTTACACATGGTACATGCATCTTCGACATCTACAACCAGTACACCTGGGAGTCAGGATTCCTGCACTCGTACAACGTCATTCTTTGGGTAGACGACCTCACAATTGCGGCTCAAACTACAAGGTTGCAACAACAGCTGTGAAGCCCTTGGAACAATTGAGAGGACACAGCGAACACGCAGCCTTCCTTACAACCAGGAACAGCGTGATCTACCCCGAGTACATTGACAAGATCAATGAGTACAGGAGGAGCCTCAAGAAGTCAGACACACCTGTGGCTGACATCGATGAGGACAAGACCGGATTTTGAAGCTACATCCTTCAGACATCAGGCCACACATGAATGCAGTTTGTACAGATGTTCGAGCTGATAACAGACATTTACATCACTTCGCACAGTTGGAACAAAATCGTTTTGGCTTGCTGTAGGACTACATCAATCCAAGAAGGGGTGTTAATATACATCCATCTTGTACATGGCAATGCTCCTTTGTACATCAAGGCCTTGAGCCTACAGATAGACTACAGCCCATTGCCTGGAGACAACAAGTGCCGCTGACACATCACAGGTCTGTTCACATCAGGTTGCTAGGTGGTTACAAAGTCAATCCCGCTTTAACACCTACATATATATATATATAGATATTCATATTGAAAAATATGTATACATATATACATATATATATATATATACACACCTACATGTATGTATGTAAACATGCATAATTTTCATGCTTTTCCCCCGACGCCGTCCCGTTTCTGAATACCGAGGTGCCACATGGCCGCCAGGCGGGGGTCCTCTTGCAGCATCCGCTCCAGTTCCTCGCGGCCGGGTGTGGGTATTTCGGGTTTTTTCTTCCGTGGAACAGCTACAATTCTAGCAACTGGAATCTTGGTTGCTGTTGATCCCCCTGCAAAAAGTTTCTCACTTTTTGGGGGTTTAGTGGAAAGCACCTTTATTTCAACCAAACAGTTAGAGTCTAAAGATCCAACCCAACAGCAGTCAAGGAATGGGGTCCAACCAAAACGGAATGGGGTCTGAAATATCTGGCACTCAGCAATGAACCAGTTTAATCAGATTCCCCTTGGTGGGTTGGAGGTGGGGTGAACAAAAACCCATGTTTCCAGGGGACGCATCCGAATCTTTCCAGAAACCATCAGAAATCCAGGTGAAACAGCGATCGGTTATTGAAAAGAACGATGGTTGAAAGAATGGGGAATGAACCACAAGAACAATTCACGGAGGGCCATGGGAGAAAAAAATCGGCATCTTTCTTTACTTAGTTGCGTTTAAAGGGGAGTTATTCCAAAAAAAAGAGACAAAAAGGGCGCCACTGGGAAACTGCTGAAACTGCCACTGGTCAAAAAACAGAAACCATTGAGGAGCCCCCCCCCAAAAAAAAACACACCGGAACCGTTGCCGGGAAACCTACAAAAAGGGGCACCTCTGAACTTACATGTTGGGACCGTTGTTCCACTGAGGCCGGACCTGAGGTTCTGGAAAATGCAGGTAAGACTGGACGGGGGTATATGCTCCGGGTAAGGATTCCACTTTCAGGCAGATTCCTTTTTGGCAGGGGCTTGCCATCGTCAGTGAATCTAAGCACTGAGCTCCACACAACCACAAAGGCGAGTTCAGCTGCAAACCCCTTCAAATATTCAATGGCTCTTGATACGGATGCCAGATCCCTCGAAAGGACAGCCCCTTCCCAAGATTGAGCGCAGTAGCTCGAAGATGTGGTCAATTGTTGCGTTGTTCTGCTGTGTGATCTTCTAGAACTCACAATGACTTGTTGCACCAGGTTTTATAAAAAAATATTATTTGCCAGGATCAGGATCTTTGAGCAGAATCTACCAAGGATACTGCAAGATTTACCCAAGAATATGAAACCCGAAGGCTCCTAGACACGTTGGCCTGTCCGCTCCGCCCAACATCAAAAGCTTGAAACCTGAAAATTGCTCGTGGAGCCTCACCTATTGGGGAAAGAAAGTAGGGGGTAGGTTTCCTCTAAGGGTGACCGTGTGCTCCCAGTTCTGCGGCAAAACCTGCGCGACATGGTTTTGTTGACGACGGTTTCCGTGCACCCCTCCCAGTTGTGCTTCTTGAAACACGCTGCACTGGTTCCAACTGGCGGCAAACTTCAGGCGCCAACGAAAACATGTCTGGAAACCAAAAACACTTACCCATCTCACGGTTTTCCTCTAGGTAAATCACAACTGGTCGGCTATTTGGGTGTGTCATTTTTACGAGACCTCCCAAATGAGTAGTGTTCCTTCTTAGGAAAAAACGGTTCCTGGCTTTCCCTCAACGCCATTCAAAGGGGTATCACTCAGACCTGCTTACTTCCGGTCGCTAAAACCCGACCGCCGGGGCCTGGAACTTTTCGATGGCCTGCATCTCATGCCTGGCCAGGCGTTGCTCCAGGATCTGGGTGCGGAACATGGCCTGGTTCTGGTACCTCACTCCGCGCAGTCAAGGCACTTGTTCAAGTGCAAGGGCCACAAAAATAAAGGGACAACCGCAAGGAAAGGTTATCTCAACTCGGTGGTTGAACCGAGCTTCGCCAACAAAACGAGTTTGGGCACTTACATTCAAAGTGATTACGTTGGTTATGACCATGGATATTATCTTACAAAGTGCTTTCCAGGTTGGAGACGATTCTCTGCCCAATTTTGTCAGAATTTTCTGTGGAACGGTTCGCGGGTGCAACATGCAGCGTTGGGGATACCACCTTTGATTGAAACTTGGGCAACAAGCAGGGGAATCTCGGAAATTAGTTTCAACCACCCAAAAAAATCCAAAATGGACTATTCACAAAACAATCCGGCAGGAAACTTGAATGAGACTCCATGTTCAAACTAAATTCACCAAGAGGAAATTCAAGCATGAAAGGCGCACACCAGGGCAACAAAGCAAACATAATTAGGTAAGAAACCCTTGTCACCTTGAAAGGCTTTTCACTGCAAAGGTTTGCTTATCTTGAAAGAATGAAGTCTGCAGCCCTTGCATGCAGTGTCTCAGCGTCTCCAACATGGATCCACTGTTGCTTGCTAGTTAGGGGGCATTAGTCAAAATGCCCTCTCGCTGTGGTCCCTCGACTTCCGTTCGCACCTTGCAAAGAAATCTGACGGTTCCAAAGCGTCTCACCGTCAAACTGTGACTTCAGAGATTCACCGGAACCAAACCGAATGAATGAGTGAGGCCGCAAGCCGGAACATCAAGTTACCAGTTGCTATCGCATCGCCAGGGGTCCAAACAAAGAAGCCAGTGGACTAGACATGCCAGTTGCATTTGGAAGAGTCGTATGACTGAAACAAACATGTATAGATGCGTGTGTATTTGTTGGAGCCGGCACCTTTCCAAGGGGGTGTTTAGAGAGCACCATTGGAAAAGGCCGCCTTAGAATCCCGGAAAAGAACGCATCTACCAGCTGCAGCATCATCTACTCCATTCCTTCCAGGGACCTTTCTCTTCACAAACTGGCTCAAGATGCAGGTGAACTTGCAAGTCTTGAAAGAGACTGATGGGAGAAACGAATCAGCAATGGCAAACAGCCATTCGAAACATGGGGGGGGTGTTTTTAGATGTGATCTTTGAGCTTTGTGCCTGAAGGGAAAGACCGGGCGGGGGGGGCGTCACCCAGGAGGACAAACCTTTCTGAAAGACACATCTAGTGACCATCCCCCAAATGATGGTTTGCAATTCAAATGGGTGACACCACTACCATGTTCTCCAACTACAAAAGCCAAGTGTACGCGCGACTGTGAGCGCACTGCGCGTAGAGTACACACGTTGTTCGCACACTGAGCGCGGAGGGCTCTTGCGCATGACAGACCAAAAGAACGAGACGAACTCATGGGGGCTGCAATGCCCAAAAGGCTGACTCTTGAATTTAGATCAGGCTTTGTAGGTTTAAAGGGCCACCCGTCCAAACATTTCGGTACACTACACAAACCCAGCTGCGCAGTGTGTTTTCGAGCTCGAAGAGCGAGGGTGACCCCTGTAAGGTATTCTGCTGACGTGTTTTGTTGCCTCCTCCTCCTCCCCTGCATCAACCGGATGCAGGCCAGCCCAGCCAGTTGGGCCCCAAAACATCCCCGACATCCCTGGCCTTGCGACGCGCTCCTGATACCACGTTGCCCAACTTTAAACAACACTGTAAGTACCTTGCAAATCACCCCCAGCAGTGGGCAGCATCTCCGCAAACATCCGCTACATCCCGCCAACTTCACCAGCATCCCAGCATTCCTGCGTCACCACAATGCTTGCATGCCCGGCATCGCGCCAACCCTCCAAAAATAATCTCCAAAATTAGGTTGTGGCGGTGGGCGGACATAGCGGGCATGCTTCAAGCGAGCGGGGCTTTGGCGAAAGCAGGGCTTGCGGCGCCACTGGCGGAAAACATCGCAAACACCGTGCTTTTTCCCGGGTGTTTTTGGGGCCTGAGAGGGGATGCCGGGGATGCAGTCTTCGTCTGATTGGCTTTTGGCGCGCGCGCCGCAAGCAAGCACCAAGCGTGCACGCGCACACATGCGAACACGCACGCACGCACGGGTGCACACGCGCGCGCACACGCACGCTAGGGTTGAGTGGGTGGGTGGGTGGGAAAGGGTGAGAAGGGTGAGAAGGGTGAGAAGGGTGAGAAGGGTGAGAAGGGTGAGAAGGGTGAGAAGGGTGAGAAGGGTGAGAAGGGTGAGAAGGGTGAGAAGGGTGAGAAGGGTGAGAAGGGTGGAAGGGTTGGTGGGAGGGGCGGGTGGGCGCGCAGTGAGGGGCGGAGGGTGGGTGGGTGCTGTGTGGGAGGGAGGTTGGGTTGGGTGAGCAACCTCTGCAGCCAACCAGCGCAGCTGGTGATGGCGAAGCCCTGGCATTTGGAAGACTCTGTTGAAAAAGGCCTAAAGAAGTAGAAATGGGTTTTTCAGGGTCATGCAAGAATCATGCGTAATTCTGGTGCCCCTGACATCAACCAATCCCCCAGTTGCCCATCCCCTTGACGAGCCAGGCGCTGCTCAAACTCCCGCTCATCCCGCTCCACGCTGTCACCCCTTCGCTGCATCTGCGCCCGCCGCTTTCGCAGCAGCTCTTGCTCTTCCTATCGGGGAAGGTCAAATTTTGGTGCGACTCCCCTCGGTTTGTACAATTGAGTGTGGGTCAAAATTACACCAACAGGGGACAGCAGATTTTAGTCCATGTTTCCATTTACCAGGGTTCCACTTTGGGTACCGATTTTTGACCCACAGCCAATTAACCAGGCCTGTAGCTATCCGCGATTTCCAGTGGCAGGACTACTCCATATAAGCTGGCGCCGTTTGGCAGAACTCAACGATTCAACCGCCGACGTTTAATTATTGCCCAGCGGAGTTCCCTTTCAACCCCAAGCACACCGAGCCTCGACAAAAAGGAGCCACACCCTGCTTCCTTCCACTTTTACTAGCTCCCTGCGGCCGTCAAACGGGGCAACTTCGAGCGTCTCCCATCTTAGTTCCATTCACCCCGCTCTCAAACGGAGGCAATCATGTACTCATGAAAAGTTCCAGCTCGTCCGTCCAGGTGTTGTGGGAAATCGAGTAGGGCAAAGGCCCCCCCAGTGCCACTTTGTCATATAGTCGTCCCCACACCAAAAAAAACAGCAAGAACATGGACATTGGAAACTCGCAACCTGAAATCCGGCAATCCCGAAAGGGATCGCCACCGTCTTGGGGTCTTCACCCCAACTCGACACAAATACCAGGGGATCTCCGGGATCACCAGTGTCCTCCAGGCGTCGCTGGATGATCTCTGCCCGGTCAGTGAGCCGCTTGCCTTCAGTCTCCGCTGGAAACTCAACACCAGGCCCCCCCATCTGCGTAGATTCCATTGGTGGAGAATCCAACCAAACAATAATGATCCAATGTTGACATGATTTCTGCCTTGAAGGACACGCACTTTCAGTTGCCACACAATACCTGGAGTTTGCAAGCATGTAAAAGGAGATGATCAAGAAATCTGGATATCGCTATCCTGCATGAAGGCTTTCAAGAAACGCAACCACATTTGCCGCAAGCAGCGAATCAAGCAAACAATGCAATTCCCGTGCTGACCGTTGCGAACTCCTCGGCATGTTTTTGCGCAAAAGCAGCACGTACCCCAACTAGCGGAGCTACTAACCATACCTGAACATGCCTCTGAAAAAGGCGTAGCAGCTTTGTTTTTGTTCAAAGGACACACATAGATTTACACAACATATGTATCTACATACAGCGAGAGAGAGAGAGAGAGAGAGAGAGAGAGCGAGGTACACACAGCTTTTTTGAACATGCCCCTGAAACAACTGCTGTGTGTACAAACTCTTCTGCTTGTCCTTCGTTTTTAACCCGAGTACACCATGGCTAAAGGGCCAACGCGCAGCTTTCGGCGTGTTGTAAAAAAAGGACCCCCCCAAAAATGGTTGGCTCTTCTTTTGGTTTCCCCACAAACCAAGCCCAAAAAAGGGCACCTTCGAAAACAGCAACCGCCTGGAGGGCGTGGAAGGGGTACGGCTTTTCAGTCTCAATAAGACTAGTTATAGCTGGCAAAGTCCAGCGGGACATTGACATTCAGCTTCCAACCCAATTTCAAACCCGAACTTCCATTTGCTTAAGCTCCCTGGAGGAATGAGCATATCTCTGTGGTAGGTTTCTATCATTCGGGGGTTTCTGAAATGTGGTGCGAAGTCCGCTGTAAAAGCGACAGGGGGCAAATCGAAGAAAACAAACATATTCATCTTGCTGGTGCTCAGTAGGGAAGGACCTTCCGTGTTGGGCCAGAACCGGAACGGTTTTTCCTTCAAAGAAACCAAATCGGGGATCGATTTTCTTGGAGCCATTCCCCGCCTATCGCACCAGCGAATCATCTCAGACGGAAGCCACGGGAAACCAGGCATTTATAGGCAAATCGAATCATTCCAGGGTTTCTTAGGCGGTGCGAAGTGAATTTTGTCCATCCACAGGTCCCCTGTAAAACCAACAGGGGCAACTCGAAAAAAAGCCTCATTTCAACCAAGAGAAGCCAATAAATCAAGCCAGGGGCTGGGTTTTTTCTTGTCATTCCACTTCTCATTCCCTGCATCTCTCGCAGCGAGTCATTTAACTGGTGAAAATAGGTACCCAACATGAAACCCTAAATGGAAATATGGAGTCAAACCTCTGGAGGGTCCAAATACCCCCCAAAAGCCATCCTCAGGAGGTACCTGGACCCTCTGAGTCAGGTTCCCTGGCGGAACCTGATTTTGACCCATACCCATTTGGCCATGGGTCACAACCTCGGTACCCCCAGTGAACATCCCAATCCCCACTAATAATAGGTTCTAAAATGGCACCTACCAACCAAAATGGGATCCCATTGGTTGACCCATACCCATAATATGATGACATATGAGTGTAGGGGACCCTACAGTTGGTGTCCCCTTCAGTTTCCCTTACCACTCAAAAAAGATGCTAACTCAAAGAAAGACACAACGACAGATACCCATTTCAGCAAACGTCTGTTCATACCGCGATTTCACTTTAAGGAGGATGCTCCGAAACCCCTTATCCCACCCCGTAAGAAACTCCAAGCAACCTGGGGAAGTTCTCCTCTTTTACAGACTTTTTGGCCCATGTCACCCCAAAAAGTTACGAGCCGATTTTGGTGTTTTTCAGAGGTGGGCAAAGGGCCGCGCAAGGCAAAGGCCGCGGTCGGGGGGCGGAAGTCGGTGGTGCACTTCTTGGCGACCAGCTCCGCCTGCAGGGAGTCCAGCTGCACGAGCCCGGTCTCCTGGATGGGAGTCCCGGAACCGGTGGGGGGGGTTGGGAAGGTGGGGGGGGGGCGCCTGAAGCAGGATGGGAGACTAAGGAACTGGCAATACAAATGGGAGGTGTGGGGTGGAGGGGGGGGGGGAGGGGAGGGGGGGGAGGGGGGGAATGGGTTGGGAAGGTGAGGGGTTGGGAAGGTGGTAAGGTGAGGGGTTGGGAAGGTGAGGGTGTGGGGATGTGGGGGTAGGAGATTGGATTTTCCGTCAAGCTGCTCGATTTACGGGTGGTTTCCCTTGAACGATCGCCATTGTTGGAGGTTCCGAACAGGGAACTGGAGCAAACGCTGATAAATCTGGGGTTTTCATGGCTACTGTTGACCCCGGATTTATTTACCCGTTTTACTATTGGGTGGGGGACCCTCCAAAAGCGCTAAAAAGGGAACCTCCCTATTAATCAAGCAGGGGGTTAATCAAATCCGGGGTTCCCATTGAGGGAAACTCACCTAGGATGGCCAAACGGGTGATCTTTAAAGCCGCAGAGGGAAATTGGGGCATGGACCCTCCTTGTTGATGAAGTCCACCAGGTAAGGCGCCAAGATGTCCACCTGCGATTTTGCCAGGGACCCTGGAACCAGTTTTTGGTAAGATGCCACCAGGTTTGGTGGCGACATGCGCAGCACGGGAGTTTACCATCTTTTGGCAGCCCATTTTGGGACCAAACATCCCATGACGTCCACTTCTGAGCGCCTGCTCGGTGGATGCCCCATAAATTGCAAGAGAACAGAACGACCGATTCTCCGATTTTGTGTTGTTCCCCATGCTTTCTTGCATGGTTGGGACGACCCTCCCAGATTTGTCGATTTTAGGGGGAAGCAAGGCCCCATTTCGGGAGATAGTCTCACTCCGTCACGCCAATCTCACAGCACACCTGGCAGTCATCTCGTTGATGGAGAAAATCAATTTTGGGGATGTGTTTATGCCGCCACTTGCCATGTCTACCCCAGCTTTTGCAGCACCCACCAACAAATAATATGGTTGGTTTTGGCTCATAGGTCGCCCAGTGTCTCTTGGTAGCCACTAAGGATGTTAAACAAACCTTTGCCTAGAGGTTCAGCTACCCGGTCGCCCGCAGCCCCAGCAAATGTCCCAGAACATAAGCTCTAATACCCAGCAACATACCAGGGGTTGGCTAACTTCTTGTGGACCTTGCTTTTTGGACATAGCCAGTTCAACAAGATCTAATCCCAGCTGCGGTCTAATCCCAGCTGCGTGTGTCTTTTTCTGGCACCCTTTTGCTTTTGGGTTGGCTTGGGGTTGCCCAACATGTTGGTTGACTTGTAGACCTTGATCCTTGGACATAGTTCAAGATCTAATCCCAGCTGGTACCCTGCTTGCTGTTGGGGCACAAAGAGGACCCCTCCCCCCCACCCCTTAGGTCCTCCCCGGTTTCGAGCCAACCCCTGGCCTTCGCACTCTGCTCTTCTTGCTTCTCCTCCTCGGCACCCTCGCGAGAACCTGCGGACATGTTCCAACGTGCAGTCCAGGAACTTGGGGCGTGAGAAGCTGGGAAAATACCTGCGGGGGTGGCACCTCAACTCGGTTGCTTTCTGCGAAGCCCTGCTAAAAGTTTAAGTTTTAGTGGTTTAATACAGAAAACCCATTAGTTGGCAAAAAGTTAAAGTCCCATCCAAGCAGAATGCATCACAGGCACGATTTCCCTTGCATCCGGAAACAAGTTGTATGGGCAAGCAACCTTGTTGGAGGTAGGCTTGGCCCCTTTTCATGGAGGACAAAGTCATGGCCCTGGGACGGATCTGGATGAAAGTCAATGAAAAATGAGAAACCATCTATCTCTCAAAGCCTCGGAGAACACTGGCCTCTGTATGCCAAACCCCTCCCCCGATCCCCGACCCCCGCGCCCCTTCCATTTTACCCCAACACACACACACAAAAAAACATAATAATAATAATAATAATAATAATAATAATAATAATAATAGTAATAATCATAATCATAATCAGAATAATAGTAACACTAATAATGATAATAACAATACTAATAAACAAGCGCTTTCTCAAAAAATGGGGGTGCCCCCCTGCCCTTCCATTCCCTGGGGTGTATGGCCAGCGACTGCCTTCCACTCGCGCGCTCTCCCTGGCCAGGTCATAGACAGAGGGCTCGAGGACGTCGTCACGGCTACCTTCCGAGGTTTGAAGCGTGACCATCGGGCCAAGTCCGGTTTTCGTCGCCAAATCCGTGGGAACGAAAAGAAACCAGAAACTGTTTTGAGGCGTGTTTGCCCAGGTTTCCAAGCTTCAAATCTGGAAGTTGGGCGCGCTTGGTACTTTTCAACATGACTCACCACATAGCGGTCGATCCTGCGGTGAGGAACAGCGTGATCCTCCATTTCACGTGCTTCTGGAACAACACATCCGAGTTCCTTAGTTCTGTGCTCAAACTATGGGCGCTGGGCATGTCCGAGTATAAGTGTCCAGTGGACTTGCTCTACGTGTTTTGCGAGAAAGGGCGTCCCACCCTCCCCATTTCCCCAAAACAACGTGAAAACCATAAATCAAGACAATCCCCCAAAAACCCAGACGTACACATGCACGCACATGCACATGCACGCACATGCACGTGCACACACGCACACACGACTAATGTTGCTTGATCTAGGTCCTGGTTAGAATAAGGGTACCCTTTTTTCGGCAGTCCGTTTTAGTAGGGGAACCCTCCCCCAAAAAAGGGTAAAAAGGCACTACTGAGGGACCTAGTGATTGTCTGGGCGGTACTTCTAAAACCTCCAATTTGCTCAGTGGCCCAACAAGAGCAGCCGCCAAACAAATTCACCCACAAAATGGCGCATTCTGGCACTGCAGAATTTCGAGGGCATTTCCACCTATGGGTATTGAGGCGCTCTGAGCTCGTTGTACCTGTTGTATGTGGTACGGTATGTAACTTCCACATGGACAATGCCAATGCATGACATTGCAACTAGTTGGGGTGCTGAAGAAGCTTCCTTTTAGAAAGATTGAAGCATTTGGGTTATCTCCCCTCTCACCAATCATGGAAGTGTGCAACCTCCCCCCCCCCCTCCCTCTGTGGAAGATTAGTTATTAAATTCATTGGCGATGCAACGAAAGAGCGGCACTTTACCTTACCAAGCCATGTTTGTTAGTCGCTGTACAACCCCCTCCCTGGGTGGAAGACTAATTAAAGCCATGTCAGTCGCAAGCCCCCAAACACATCACGCAGTCCCATCTTTTTCCGCCTCCCAAGTTCAGCCTCCCCCCCCCACCCCCCCACCCCCCGAGCGCCCCAAGCGCCTGGGATCGTCAGATCCCGCTTCTTGCCCGCGGACACCGAGCGCATGCCCCGGATGCTGATCTCATCCTTGCGGCGCGTAGTCAGCTCCTGGCAAAAGCGTTGGGCTGTAGAGGTGTCTAGGTCCTCCACAGGTTAGAATAAGGGTACCCGAGCTTTTTCTGTAGTCTATGTTGGTAGGGAACCCTCCCCCAAAAAAGAGTAAAAGGGCACCTAGGGGACCTAGGTGTGCCTGTTATCGGATGGTGCCATGTTTTGGGGGCTTCCCAGGAAGCCAACAGAACGCCACGATGTTCGGGCCTTACTTTAAGACACATACCCAGCATCACCTTTAAACAACACCCCAGCTTCACGCCCGGGGTTTAGCCCGTGGTTTAGCCTCTCAACCTAGGAGTGCCTCAGTTTGGTGAGGCTTGGTTTTTCAGTTGAATACCCAACCCGCCATTCTCGGAGCTCCACCTATTTTGAGTCACAATCTAAAGCTGGTACTCAAGTTGGATTGCTTGTTTTTCAAGTGTTCATACATCTTCATCCATTCCAACTCGCACGAAGTTGGTTTTGTCCATTCCCGTTTGATGTTGGCTCAGAACCCCACAAAGCTCTTCCGCTCCTTTTGGGCAGGAGGCAAATCCGGATTTGGGGCTACCTGGTGTCTCCATGACCCTTTAACAATGGGTGCATGACCCCTTTATTTTGGGTAATGACCCCATTTTTAAAGGGTCATCAAGACTCCAGGTAGGAAGAAGAGAAACAGTTTCCTAAGTACACTTTTCCTCGAAGAGGTCACGGTGAGGCAACCAAACAAATTGTTGGGGCTACGTAGCATCCAGTGATGTCGCGAATGGCGATCCTAGATTCTAAAGGCGTCCAAGAATGCCAACCCAGGATGCACAAATACCTGGCTGAACTGGTGTAAATGTCCGGTTGTTTCATCCGGCCTCACCGTTCTGCAATCCCAAAATAATATCCACAGGACATCGGATAAATAACCACTTTACATATCTCATGTAGTTAAGCGTGTTTTGGTTGTTTCCTCCGCAAGACAGTGATTTGGGGGTGACATCTCTCCCTGACTCCCCGAACCAAAGCCACCTTCTTGCGGGCCAAATGTGGTAATTGCCACTCTTGACACTCTGCAGAAAAAGTATGAGGGTTTCCCTCTGACACATGCGCCATGGAGAGTTCCTTGATTCCACTGCCATCCGAAACTGTATGGAAGATCCATCCTCAGCCAAAACCCCAATACAACCTCTTGAACAATAGACGGGATGGATTCTGGCAAGTGATTGGAGCAGCGCCATCTGTTTTCAGCCAAGCAACAACTGCATATTGGCCAGTGAAGGCGTGCTATGACCACGGCACATACGTCCCTGCAGTCAGTCAGAGTTTCGTTCAAGGGAACACCTGCAACAGCTATTTAACGTCCCTTGGGTCGATGGCCAGCCCTATCCCTAAGGGCCTTTTGACCCTGGCACTGGCCAAAAGTTGAAAGGTCCCTTCAGCGACGCAAGTCGCCGGCCACTTGCGCCTGCTGGATGCTGGTGTGTGAGGCCATGATCGTGTCACGGCCTCGGCTTGAATTCAAACACCAGGACCCCTGTGGCGCCCAACCCGAGTGAATCCTTCTTCGAAGCTACGGATCTGTTTTGCCCACTTCCCTTGTCTTATCGCTAGGCTGCAACCTTGGAGACCTGATGCAGTTCTGGTGCCCTGATTCGGACGACCGCAAAATCAGCACTAAACCGGGCAACTAATAAGAGAGAAAAAACGCCACACCTTGAATAAATGGAAGCTGTTAGGGCGGCCCGTTTGCCCGCACAAGTCAACAACTCGATTCGCAGGGCGCACATGTCTCAGGTATGAGACGAGATCGAAAAAAGCTCAGGCTCGAAACTGCAGGGGATGAAATACTCCTTCAGACGTTGCATGTTTGGAGTTCCATTCCATTGCCACTTTTGGAGGTTTGAAAAGGGGATCGGACCTCAACTGGCCAGAGAAAAAGCCGCACTCGCGGTTTGATTTGCAACTTCTAAAACGCGTGGTTCATCGCCACGCGTAAATGACATTTTTGGGGAAAAGGGTCTGGCATCAACAATTGCCTTGTTGTTGCTATGAGGGAGCATCTGCAATTGATGGGCACCTTTGATTAGAACATCGCTGGTTGATCAATAGGGGTGTCCTCTTTTAGTGGGGATGCTTGACTTTTGAACGAACATGCGGCCGAATTATTGCCAAACATTGCCGACGCTATGAATCCTTCTCTGCCCCAGCAGCCAATTCTCATTGAAGGTAAGAGTCCCGAAGCAAAAGGTGAGTCACAATCAAAACCTGGTACACAAATGGTGCACCCAGAACCATGTAAAGAACTAAGAAGGCGGATATCCGCAGCTATTTACGGTTGGGATCGTCCCTTGCTAACCTTCATCTACCAAAGGGGTTTTGAGCAGGTGGCTCAGGTCCAAAACGCAACAAAATCTTGGGCCACGGCAGGTGGTCTGCATCTGCATGAGCTTGTGCACTTGCGCCTGAAACGAACTTACTGTGAGAAAGGAAAACAGTGGGCGAGTGCCGAATGTAAGCCCAGGCTTTGACTCGTGAAACTTGAGCTTGCTACTTAGCAGGGAAACAGTCATTGCACCAACAGGCAAAATACACTTACTTCGGTCAGAGAGACACCAAGAAACCTGGACATCCTCCCGCGGCACATCCAACGACTACTTTGTCTCACATGGGTGTTGTTTTTTTAGGGGGGACCGCGCAAAAAATGTTTGTTTTCTCTTCTGATTTCCCTTGTTAAAATAGCAAAAAAAAACTGGCACAGAAACTCGTGCGTGAACTTGGCCTAGGATTGGGACCTTCAGAAGGTTCCAAGCATACTTGCAATCGTCGAACCTTTCCCCCCGCAAACACTTGAGCATATTGAAGGCAGGCCTAAACGCAACACGTGAAAGAAAGAGGGTGCAACACAGACTCTGGGGTACCACCAAGAACCGTGTTTTCTGTTTCATACCTGGGTATGTCCTTGTTTTAGGTGACCCCCCAAAACGGCTTCGGTTTTCCCTTTGGTTTCCCTTTGAACCAACCGCAGCAAGGGTTCCCCGCAAAAGATACACTCCCATTTGGTCTGCCGAAAAAAACATCTAAGCTTCGTTGTTCAGTGACCCTGGAGAAACAAGCCCTTAGGGTCCATGTACCTTCTGAGGATGGTTTTTCGAAAACAGGTTTGGAGCATGGTCGTTCACAGAAAACACTCTGAGCATGGTCGCAGGCCCAGTGTGCGTGCTCAGGCAGTTGTGGCTCATGAAGGGGTTTGGCTACATCAATTGAGAGGTCAGAGCTTAGCAATTTCAACACTGGAGCTAGATCTTTTATCTTGATACAACCGCGAAGCCATGGGATTGCTACGGTCTGCGGCTTTGAGAGGAGGTCCCGTGCCCTGCCCTGCCGACACATGCGTGTTCAACGTGGGATGTCCCATCAAGGTGTAATTATGTAATTGGGGATCGACCTCCTGTGGGACTCCACCTCACTGCCAGTCTGCGACACTCATTTTTGATCGCGCAGCTTGTGGCCCATTGGTCATCGTGGGTAGCGCCTCAGCATGGCACTCGTTCGCGCTGAATCGTCGAGCTCACAAGGCTCCAGTAAGAGCTCTAGCCCCTTGCTGAGCGATGGTGAAGATGGTTCAAAGGTCCTGGTTGCCCCAATCAGGATGAAGGTGTCTGCTTCTTGGAAAATGATTAGATGTGAGTCACATGATCATGTGAGCCCTGATTGACCGACATTTGGTTCGAGAGTTGGAGAGAAAACAAGGATGAAGCGCAGTCCATCTTTGAATCGTTGCGATTCTACGCTGAACTGTTCGGCCGCGAGATCATGGATACCCCAGCCCCTTGCAGCATGCAATGAGTCATAGTTATGTTGGAAAAGCTCCTGGGAGTCAAACTGGCACCCTTTCATGTTTTTTTTTTGCAAGGACCGATCGATGGTTACGTGGCCCGACTCAAAGGATCGCATGGTTGCGTGGGACTCAGCTTGCGCATGCTTGGAAGTAGCAGTTTTACCCATATCGTGGCTAGCTGTACGTGCTGCCAGATCACCGAAACAGACGTGGCCAACAACTATGACCTTGTCCGGGAATACTTGATGAACCTACCGGATGCTGCAGACAACCATCATGCTTTGAAATTGCCAGAACTGAAACACCATGTGGCTGGGGGCTTACCAATTGACAGGAATTCGAATAGACGACCCTTGTGGCCTAGCACTAGCTTGTTCCCTGCGCTTCTCAGGCAGCATTCATTTTGGTGTCCATCACATACAATCTGCACTCTTCAAAGATTCGCCATCGGGGAGGCAAGGGCGAAGTAAGAGCACCTTGTCTTTTTCCGGATTCGACTTCAACTTTGAAGGGCGGCTGCAACAGGAATATAGATCTAGAAGTCGCCGGCTACGTCCGTCCATGCTGAGGAGTGGGCGCACGAGCAAGCGCTCCGATTGAGATCGATAGCTGCCCACCTGGTGCGGTTAACAAAAAGGTCACCAACATCGAGGCAGGCGTGTGAAGCTGTTCAATGACGCATTTCAACCATGCAAATGCAGGAACCAGCGGGTGAAGGTTTTGAAGAATATTTGGATTCTGCTCTCGACAAAATCAGCGCTGAACTTAACAGTTGATCACTGAGAGGTGCGCAAACAATTCGACATGCAACATGTACTTCCCTTCTCATGATCGATTGAAAATGAGGCAATGCCTGGTACCATCGAACTGGAGAAGGACCATGCGGTCGAATTTGCAGTCCATTGCCACGCATGGAATTTGAATGTAGTTGGTGCAAGGAGCCTGCCAGCGATGATGAGATTGAAATCCAATATCTGCCCCAACATGCCAAGAAGAAGGCTGGCCCCCCAGCAAACTTGCAACTGCGTTGGAAACCCATGTTGCACCGGAGGTCGACGAGCCGTCGCAAATCGAGGACACCAAGGACCGCCGCTTTAGGGATTGGAATTTAATTGAGTTCTGGTCACGATCTCTTGTAGACCCGTTTGAAGGAGGTGATGAGTTGCAATCGCGGCCAGCCCGGATGCGCAACACCGGCATCGATTGAAATTCAAATCCCATGTGTTAACCAATTAAAAATGTTTTTACAACAATGGCCATTTTTCAACAAGTGGCCTCAAGTGGTGTTGAAATGTGTTGAAAAAGCACTCCCAGCCACTTGTTGATTGCTCTATTGGAGCATTCTCGAAATCCCGTTTGAAAACAGTAGGGGGGGTTGTTGCAAAACAAGCCCTGACTCACCCACGCTGCTTCCGGCCAGGGCCTGGATTCCACTCCGGGAGTGGAGGAGCCCTGCAGCAAGCAGGTGAAAGTTCGTGCCTCAGACCGCACGCTTTCAACACAACGCCCACTTGTCAGAAAGGATGGGGAAGAGCAGAAACGAGCTGTTCAAGACCCGAAGGCCAGTCGGAATTGCTTGATCATACTTGTTTGGCATGCCTAGATCCGAACTGGATTGCGTGAGCTCTTGGCGCGCAGGCTTTGCGGGGCCCTGTGGTCAAGAATGACGTTGAGTTGCCCAAATGGCTGGCAGCTGTCGAGCACTGCAAGGTTGAGGCTAGCGAAGAGGTGTCATTGAAGCAAGCTCATCTTCGCAAGGAGATTGCTGAGGCCGTGTTGGTACATGCGTCATGGTTTTGCCCACGCCTGATCATGATCATACGGGTCGTCACGCAAACTAGCTGCTTAATTGAAAGTGTGAGGCGGAGGGTGATGAGGCCGCGCAAAAGCGACAAAACAAAAAGGAGAAGAAAGAGGCAAAGGAGGCAGCAAAGGCGCAGCCAAAGAGGCGGGGGAGGAAACCCAAAGCAGAGCCGGCACCAACGCTGCAGCAACCTGAGGAGGAGTCGCAGCCAGTGGAGCCAGCCAATAAAAGAGGGAGCAAATCCAAAACAGACCCAGCACCAACGCTGCAACCTGAGGAGGAGTCGCGCCCCAAGGAGCCATCCGCGCGAACAAAAAAGAGGGCAGTGAAATCGCTACAGCAGTCGACGTTTGAGGAGGAGTCGCAACCCACAAAAATGAGCGAACCAGACCCGGCGCCAACACTGCAGCAACCTGTGAAGACATTAGAGCAGGAGTCGCAAGCAGCGAAGCCAGCCACAAGGAAAAGATCAAGCCCAGCAGGCGCGCAGCAGCAGCCAGGACCCAAGCCAAAGAGCAAGAGGCAAAAGAAGCCGCAAGATGACGGCAAGGTGCCGGAGGTTCAGCAGCAACCTGCCTCCTCAAGCGCGCCTACGTCTTTAAAGGAAAAGAGGGTGCACGAAGCAGACGTAAACAACAACGTTGAAAGCGGTAAAAGAGTGAAAACCGATAGCGATCACCAGCCGGCAGCAAGCGGGGAACATGTGAATGAAAACAGCGTGCTGGATGAAAAGGACGTGGTGCCAATCCAGAAATCCAAAAAGTCCCAGGATGAATGCAAGGCAAGGTGTGCTAGGGCTTCCAGGGCACTCGTTGAGCTGATGACCAACAAGATCAAAGATTTGCCCACTCCTGACCCAGAGACTTTTGCAAGAGTGACTCTTGGACAAGTGGAGGGTTGTTTGCATCCTGGTTGAATCTCAAACTGAGCCACCCAGCCCACATTGTGCGCCAAGGAGCTTTACGGTGAAGCCGCCTGCAGGCGCACGGGAAGATGCAAGGAGCATTGGAGTGGTGCTGTACTCTCGAAGCTTCTATGTCCACAACTTGGGCAATATCGACACCGAGAAACTGCCAAAACGGGTGCAGCATATAAAGGCCCAATTGAATCCCTGCAAATCGTACAAAGGAATTCATGTTGCTGGCAGGTGAACAAAGGCGGTGGCTGCACCATCGGGTGGAACGCCGATCCTTCATATGCGCCATCCTTCCTCGTTTAAAATATATCGCACATGGTAATTTTGAGGAGTCGTTCGAACGTGCTTTGCCAGGTGGCAGGACGCCAAAATCATTGCGGGCTGGCTTGCGAAGGCTGGCTTGTTGACACAGAATTTGAGCAAGAATGCGTGTCGCGTTGATGGCTGGCAAGTTTGCTGCTGTTTTCGGCCAGGAGGATGTCGAGCTTAACAGCGCTGTCGACAGGGACTGATCACGCGGGTTCAAGCTACATTTGATTGCTGGGCATTTCATCTGTGCACAGCATGCTTTTCAAGCTAAACCCTTTATGGTACGTATACATGACCGCCGCACAATTGCAAAGGATCCCTCCGGCCAAAAACGTATAAGCAAATAATGCCAGAGGTAACTCGAGGGCATGGCATCTGCAACTTTTCAAGTTTTTTGTGGTCTGCACCGAAATGATCATATCGATGATTTCAATGGTTTGGACGTGCTGTGCGTGGTCATGCAATTCGGTGGAGGCTGTGCCCGAATTCTGCACAGCTTGCGCTCATGGGGCTTGGGGAAAACACGCGCTGCTCGATGATTTTGAATTCGCGATGACCTCCTCGGCACCGCGTTCGCTCGCAGGTCCTGGCCGGG